TTTGAAAAAATTAAGCAAATTAAAGATCTAAGTAAAAATGTAACAAGTTTTTATGTAAACATATTGGAGTCATGGCTAAAGGTAGGTGGTACTGGTAGAAATAATAGAGATACCTTTTTTGAAGTAAGAAAAGAGGTCATATGGGGAAATAAAAATATTATGATCAACGAAAAAACATTAATCTTTAATAATTGGATCGATAGCAATATGATTTATGTTGAAGATGTAATTGACAAAAATGGTAGAATTAATGAAAAATACATTTATGACAAATTAGCAAACAAACAAAACTGGATGAGTGAAATGCTACAAGTTAAAATGGCCTTTCCAAAAAAATGGGCAGGAATTCTACAATCGCAAGAATCGATTAAAACCAAGGTTAATTTTAATAAAGAAAACTACAACGTTTATGATAAAAAAACCGGAGTTAATCTTAACTTAGGGAAGTTAAAAAATAAAGATATATATAGGTTGGCTACTCAACAAAAAAGTGTGATAAACATTAACAAAGTGCGATGGATAAATTATTTCGGTTTAGATGGATCAATAGAAATCAAACAGATGCTACAATTTGTTTTCAGTAAATTATTAGACAATAAGTATAAAGTATTCAAATGGAAATTATTTCATCATATAATACCAACTAGACAGATGTTAAACAGAATGACCATAGCTGACTCAGAGCTCTGTAACGTCTGTCAAGAGGTAGAAGATTTTGAACATTATTTTATCAACTGTAGATATCTTGACAATTATTGGAACAAAATGGATAAAGGTTTTCAAAACATAGGTATCTGTAAAAATATGAGACAGCTAAGGTATTTGATATTAGGATACAAAATACAAGAAAAAAATTACGATTGCACGAATATAATATTGTGTTTGATAGGTTTCGCGGTATTTAAGACCTACCATATAAGCGAACAAAAAACAAAGCAAATTAGCCCGATTAACATTTTTAAACGGGAGCTAGAACATGTTTGCAGATTTACGCACGTAGGTAGCAAACTGTTACATACATTTATGAAGGATTTATGACAGATTAGCCTA